TTCCTGTTGAAAAAAATTATTAGATATTGTAGTAAGTAATGATAAGCAAAATAAAGATAAATTAGATAAAATGCTTGAATTACAAATGAATTTCCTAAATATGAATGTATCAGAAAATAATATGGTTATTGATGAGTTTTCAGATGAAGATTCTAATAATCATAAAGATATTTCAAGTGAAGGTGAAGATGTCCCTAAATTCAATGAAAGGTCTAAAAAAAGAAAATTAAAAGGAAAACAAAAGGAAAAAAATTATAAATCCTATCAAATTGAAGCTGTTGTTGACCATAAACTTAAAGATGGTTTATATACATTTCTAGTTAAATGGAAAGATTATTCCGATAGTGATAATAGTTGGCTAACAATAGATAAATTTAATGAAAAGGAAATGTTAAATGAATATATTAAAAATAATAATCTTGGTGTATTATAAATAATTCGATAATCTTCCCCTCCTATATATAAATGAATATCTATATAGGATATATTGTTGTATGTATGACGTCCGCAGTTAATGTAATAAGCTTTTTATAATATATTCTAGGTTAAAGTTGCCGCTATTACATACATATATTGTTTTTGATTTTCTTTTTTTTACTTTTTTTAAATCTTTTTTAGGATTACCATTATCAATAGATATGCAAGGTGGTAAAACAATTTTTTTATTTTTTTTCTTGGGCACATGAATTTTACTATGACTAGAACATAGATAATCAAGCTTGTTATCTCCAATATTAGTTCTAATCTTCCTGTGGCACATGTGACCTTCTTTCTTACCTCTTTTATGTATGAAAGTGCAAACATTTTCACTACTATTTAAGTACCAAAATTGTTTATCTTTAACTTTATTCATTTTTTCATTTATTTTATTTTCCATAATCTTCATCTTACTTTCTTTTTTTTCTACCAACACTTCATCATCAAAATATTCCTTCATAACCTCTTCCATAAGATTTCTTATACTTTTAGTTAAGGATTTAGTAGATACAAGAATTTCTGTGTTTAAAATTACCATTTTAAAAATTTATTGAAATGGTAAGAGAAAATGGATGTTTTTATTTTCTTAATTAAAAAAAATTCAATTTTTTTTTACTTCAAAGATTTTTAATTACACATGAGTAATTGATTACCAATAGTTTTATTAAATACTTATAATTATAAGTATACCGCCTGAGTTCGATGCGAGGCTAAAATGGACAAGTAGTCTACCTCCCAGGATGTGGAAAACTCTATCAAGCGTATTCAACAGCGTCGTGTACCAGTGATGTCTCCAAGCTCGGGATCCCCTCCGATGTCCTCCCCCCACACACTCCCTACACCCCCAATTTTATTTTCACGGCCAGCACGAACGGTCTATGCATATAGAGGCCGAGTATGATAGCAAAGTACGATGGAGACCCTGCACGAAAAGCATCGTAACTTGGCCACAGAGCCGCAGAAAGACAAGGTCCTGGTATGTACGTGTTGCCAGGAGCCTGTACATTGTGCTGGTTGCAATTGTGTGAAAAAAGCTTTGCGAATGTCTTCGCAAGAACAGCCGCCATTCCACTCGGAATTGACCAAAATGCGTGACGCGACGAATACAATAAAATAAATTTTTTGACATACTTGACATGGCAACAAGCAGCTTTCAGGAACAGGAAATGTCACAACCCCCGAATGCCATGGCAACAAAAAGGTTTTTTTCTGCTGTATAGCTCTTCGAAAACAAGCTTCCAGTTGTCTGCTTCAAAGGTCCCATAAGTCATAAAGAATGATCTTTAATGTGGGTAGTAAAAGATCATCGGGCAAGGCAACCCAAAAAAGGAAATTATTTGTGCATATCAAATCAAATCAGATCAGAGCAAGTATAGATAAGGAAGCAGGATACAAAAAAACGCGTTTTTCTTTTTCTTCTCTTCTTTACCAGTTTGTCCATTCTTCCGTACTTTTACGATGAGCACTCACGCTGAAAACACCTACGACCAAGCCACAGGCTACTACAACTTCGACCACGACGATGCGTCCACCATCCCCTACGACCACGACGATGCGTCCACCATCCCCTACGACCCTGACGCGGCATCACATCTTTCATACCATTCCCGTTCCACCATCTCCTCCGCGCCACCCCAATTCTCGCCCGTCCTTACACCCACCTTCAGCTTCGATAACGCCAGCACGGCCTCACACCACTCCTTTGTCACCATCTTCTCTTCCGACTCCTCCCTCATCATTGACCTCGGCAACAATGATGATGCATCCAGTGCTCTGTCGCGTGCGGGTTCGTCCCCACCGCCATCACCGCAGTTCAGTCCTTTGCATTCTCCCGTCTTGCCGCCGTCCCCTCTTCTTCCTCACCATTCTGCTCCCGCTTCTCCTGTCCTCTTCCCACTCTCGCTCCTCCGATGGTTGAGGTTGCCGAAGACGAAGAGACTGAAGAGGCGCCTGTGCCAGAAGAGGACGAAGAGATCCCATATGCTGGTGATCTCATGGACATTGACAGCGACGATATGGATATCGACAACGATCAGAGCAATCTGATGTACTTAGACTGGGTTCCTCCTTCGTACCCCTGGTGGTACTAAAAAAATCCATAAAGTAAGCTACTCTACATTGACCTTTTTATTGAGCGCGTTCACTGACTTGATCACGTCTATTCTTTCTGTTATGATAGATCCCAACAAAAAAAGCAAAAAACACCACAAAAGGTAAGTATAATGTTTCTGCTGTCTTGTGCTTCTGCTTCTTTCCTATAATAAACGCGCTCATTGATACCGGCTTCTTCTTTTTCGTACAAATTCTAATAGCACCCAAAAAAACAATTCAAAAGTCAAAACCCTCAAAAAACATTCAGTATTCAGTATTCAGTATTCCGTATAGCCATTGGTAACAAAGTCAACTCTCGTTTTACTAAGCCTGCTTCAAACACATTGCTGCCTGAGAAAGATGAAAACTAACATTGCTGGCTGGTCGATTTAATAGGCCCTCCTTTTCCTGCTTCTGTTCTTTTCTACCGGCTCCTGCTTTATCCTCTTCTTCCCGCTTGTTGGCGTTGGTTTGTTGGCGCGTCGGCGTCGTGGTGATGTGTCGGTTCCTCGGTGGTGCCTTCTCCGCATGGCTTCTAGGGTGGTTCGTTTGGGCCGTCTTTGGTCGGCTCTTTTGCGTGGGCTGTTTTGGTATATAGTTCAAAGAAGGCTGTCTCAGATTCAAGGCATATATTTGCTGATTGGATCCATGTTCTTTAGGTCTTTGCGTGGTTGGTTCGGCTGCGATGCTTCTGGTGTTTGGTCTGGCGGCTTCCGCCTTCGTCAGGCAATGGGGTGCAGTGGAAGGTACCCGGATTAAGGTAAGGGCTGAGATGGAAGGCTGTGGCAAGGCACTGTGTTATCGCCTGTATAGGGAGATATAGGGGGCCTCTGCGCATGTTTCACGATGATTTTGGACTAGATGGCTGTGGCACCACTGGTGTGCTGTATAGTGATGCTAGGAACATTGCATTGTCGTTTGTCGGTTTTGGAGGACGTGGGTGACACCTTGCATAGCAGGAATGTACAATGGAGCGGCCCGGTAGACCATGGCTTTCTTTGCAGGCACGTATTGATCATCTTTACTTTCACGTAATAAAGGAAAACAAAGTGAGCATGATGTACTAACTAATTTAAAGTATTTTTGCTAGTCGTCTATCCCCCTTCCTTGTAGCAGTCAATCGTTTCGATGATTGCTAATACAAGGGAGGGGAGCAGCTCCATGTAGGACCTAAAGCCGTCTTTGCATTGTGGCATTTATTTAGTCGTGGTTGCTCCATTGGTTCACACTGGCTCAAAAGACACCCCGTGGTACTCCTGCGTCGACAATACCACAAAGCATTGTTCCACAAGCATTACCACCTCACTGACCCCACAGCACGGTTCTCGGTCGTCCTCTGGAATGTGTTTACGCCTAAACCGCGTCTGATCCCTCAGGGGGCCTGGGTAGCAGTTAGCTTTCCCTCTGCTATGGAAGTGAGTATCCTTCTGTCTCATAACCCTTACCCTCTGCTTCGGGTGCCTGAAGCTGGGGTGTCCGGGCTGGGGTTGTCCTGGCGAGAGCGGTGTGGTGGTAGTATGCTGCCATTTTGGGAGAGTGCCAGCTTTCCAGGCTAGCCGAGTAAAAAAACTTGGCGCTGATCGCGGATTAGTAGAATCCCCTCTGGCTTGATTACGTCGTCGTTGCGTGTGGTTAGTATGCATGTGCCTCATATGCCGTCATGGTGGGGTGGCGCCAAATTTCAGACTAGCCGAGTACAAAAGCACCCTTGTGTCGAATCGAGGATTCGGAGAATCCCGTCTTTGGCTTGATTTTCTCTTGTCAAAATGCATGCCCCATCACGAAAAAGCGTGCAACAGTGAATCACATGTTTCAGCGCAGCAATTTTATCATCACATCAAGAAGTAGCGCAACTCAGTGGTACGGATAACAAGCAAGAACTCGTAGCAACGAAGAGACATCAGCATGGCTGACGGTTCAACTCGAATATTCCAACAACTTACGTTAGGACGGAAAGGAACTGTTCGGAACAACACATCAAAAAGAGCGGTATCGGCACGTTGTAGACATCAAACCAAAAAGCACAAGAGCAAGAAGAATTGACAACATTGCAAATGACAATTGCTACAGGTCGAATCGAGATGATGAGTCACCTCTGCTTATGACAACAAACAGCAAGATTTATTAATGCGACAACATCGACGCAAATTGATCGGATTATAAAAATATAACATAACAATGACTACATTCTTTTATGAAAATGGACAAGAAAACCTTTTCAATGAACATGGAGAAAAAGTTTACGATCCAATGGAAGATGTTTTAACACAAATTGACGATCCCAATATAGTTCTTGAAACAATAACTTGAGTGCTAAACGCCACGAAAAAGCTACTGGTGAACCATCAGTTACGCAGCCGTTGAAATCTAGTAATTTGATTAAATCAACCAAGTCATACAGTATCTATAGTGATACGACCAGAGAATCGTTTATCAACCGTATGCTTGAGCAACTGCAAGAGCGTGGCTTAGTGGCTAAAGTTGCAAGAGAACTCAACGTGAAGTACCGTACTGCACTGAATTGGTGGCACATTTATGAAGAAACAGAAGGGGTGCCGTATAAAAATAGTGAAAAAAACAGTGGTCCAAAAAGCTCATTTACAACTGAGCATAACGAGTACATTACCAAGCTACTTGACAACGACCCTCAGATATTTGCGGACGATATAATAAATAGCTTGACTGAACAATTCGAAGGCTTCACCATTTCAAATCGCAAATGAACAACCATTTACGTAATACTATGCTTATCACTGTAAAAAAGCCATATTTCGAACCTGAGGTTAAAAACTCAGTAGAAAATCTCCAGACACGATTCGAATGGTGAAATGGAAAGATTCTGATCTGGATTTTACAAAAAATTGTATTTTTATAGATGAAGCCGGTTTCCACATCAACATGAGACTCAATTGGGCCAGATCGAAAAGTGGAAAAAAGGCAATTGTAAAGCAACCACAAACCAGAGCACCAACACATACAATCATTGGTGCCATTCACTCCTCTAGCATTATTCACGTTGCTATCAGAAAACCACCACCAAAAAAAGAAATTGAGGCTGCTAAAAAAAAAGAAAGGCTAATAATGGGCAGTAACTGAGATTAGTGAAGAGAATCCAGAGGTTAACGACGATTCTGCTAATAATAATTCAGTAAAAAAAGGTACAACAACTGCTCACTTCGTTAAGTTCATGAACAAAGTTCTTGCTGTACTGGATGCCGAAAAAGCTTCTAAAGGAAGTTATATAGTTCTAGATAATGCTTCTATTCACAAGTCTAAGCCGATGATAAGAAAGATTGAAAGTAAGGGTTACAGAGTAATGTATCTGCCTCCCTACTCGCCTGAATTGAACCCTATTGAACAGTTTTGGGCAATAGTTAAAGGGAAGATGAAGCGTGACAGACTAATGGAGGAAGAAAATCTGTCCAGTAGAATTACTGATGCTTGTAATGATATATTCATCAGTGACCTTAATGGTTTCTGTAATCATTCTAAGCGCCAAATTGTTAATTGTTATAAGAAGACACCTTTCTAATATACAGTCGTTCCAATGCCAAAGGGCGGTTTTCTAAAAAAAATGCGGCTAATAAAGCTTCCCAAAGGACGCTTTTAATTTACAGTGTTTTCCTTTCATTTTCAGACTTTTTGAACTTTTTTTTCGGACTTTTAGATTTTTAAATTCAGACACAAATTTTTATTTTTCAGACGAACAGAAGTTGCTTTTCAGACTTTTATTATGCTTATATTCAGATTCTATTTCAATATCGTGATGAAATACCACGAGCTTTGTTGCGAGACTTGTCAATGAGAGCATAAAAGTCGGAGATGGGAATCACCAAACCGTCATCAATACTAGTTGATTCAACATTGGGAGTAGCGTCAGTAGCATTGCAGTGGTTCAAAAGGCAGTGACCAATGTTGGACAACATATCAAGGTTCTTTAGAGAGGCGAACGAGTGAAGCACCGACAGGGAAGAGGCAACGGTCATAGCGCCAATTTCGGTCATTGTGTACAAGTGTTTGTGCTACTTACAGACAACGAAGAAGGAGATATAGAAGCCATTGATCATAAATGCAAGGCAACCACTCAAATGCCATTTGTCGATTGCCCTTTTTGATGCGATTCCCAGGCGAAGAATGTCCATACAAACAGAGTGTTTGGGGGGTAATCCTTAACCGTAATTCTTTTAAGGTTTTATTAACTAAAAGATATATCATTGTTTAAACATATTTAGGAAAAATAAAAAATTAGATTATAATTTTTTTATTTTTTAAACTTTTAACTTTTTTTTTAACTTTTTTTTAATTCTTTAAAATGTTTAGGTTTCGTAGAAACATGTTTAAACCTTTAAAAGAGTTATATCCTTTTATAATTAATTTAACACGGGCTAGGAGGTACGACGACGCCCTAGTCACATTTTTTTTGATGAAATACAAAAAAAAGTAGACGCTTGACAGTGAAATCCTTAATTAAAATTAATTTACTGTTTACAGTAAAATTAATTGTTAAGGATTGAAACTCTTTTGTTGTGGAGCTATTTCCAGGCTTGACCTCACCAAAACCAACAGGATAACCAAAATCATGCTGTATCAGTGTTGAGATAATTGCGTCGGGTTGGATATCAGACTCTTCTTCAGGTGATGATTTGTTGGCCCATCGCAGTGCTACATTTTGGTCTTGGTTGGCAATAATTTCAGAGAGGAGTGCATCATAGTAAGTAGTTTGTAATTCAACTTTACAGATTTTGTCCAAGTTCAGCAGTCGATTTCGTGGTAGTTTGGTCAGGCTATCGTAAAAAAAAGTGATAAATGAGTAACAACTCAAAAACACGCTTCCTTATAACTTTTGTATTACTACTTACTAAGGGTCGCAATCTGACCCGCGGGTTGAGGACGGGTCAATGGGTCAGGTTGATGCCTTTCTGACCCGTGGGTCCACCCGTCCAACCCTTGACCCGACCTGTTGACCCGTCGTGACCCATGTATACATATAATATGTATGAGGTACTTATATTTAAGTAGTCAATCTTCTTGTTGGGAAACATAATTAGTTGTCATTATGTCTGCTATAGAACTATAGCATAAAACGTACTTAATTCTTTTTATTGTGGGATTATACTTTATATTCAACAGTATGGGATAAGTAAGCAGAGGTATCCCTAAATAATGTATAGAAAAAATTCAAACTCAATTACTTAATATGAAAAAAATTGAATTTTCTTTATATAATTAAAGATATACAAGATATACTAAAATATGTTTACCGAATCATATATTAATTTGAAAAAATTATTTGATAATGAAGAAAATGCATTAATTTATTTAATAGAAGATAATTATGTTAATAAATATGAAGAATGTGCTATTTGCAGTAGTAAAACAAAATTATACATTACCATAAAAGTTTATAAATATAAAAATCGTAAGTATAGAAAATTATACTCACCTTTACGAGGAACAATATTTTCAAAAATGAAATTGCCATTGAATAAACAATTACATTTATTGAATTACTTTATATTGAAAATGCCTTATAGTAGCATATCTACAACCTTGAATATTTCACGTAATACTGTAACAGCATATAATAAATTATATAGAAAATACTTGAAGGATAGAATTAATTTTAATAGGAATTTTAAAATAGGTGGTAGAATTAAAATTGTAGAAATTGATGAAAGTAAAATAGAAAACGAATATACAATAAAGGATATAAAGTTGAAGGTGCCTAGGTTATTAATGGAATTGAAAGAAGTATATTGAAATATAAAATAAAAAACGAAAATATAAGACATTTATGTTACCAATTGAAAAAAGAGATTGTATAAATATAGATAAAATTATTATGAAACATCTAAAGAAAGGAACTACTATTTATACTGATTGCTGGAAAGGCTATAATAATTTAAAAAATATTGGATATAAACATAAATTAGTCAATCATAAAAAATATTTCAAAGATCCAAATACAGGTATATATACTAATACAATTGAGGGAACATGGTGTGCATTAAAACAAAGTATTGTACCAAGATGAAGGACAAAAAAGGATTTAATATTATATTTAAGAGAATATCAATGGCGAAAAAAGAATAGAGAATATAACTTATGGAAAAAGTTTTTAAAAGATTGATTTAATTAAAAATTGAATTTTAAGAATATAATAAAAAACATATCACTATATAATTTTAAAATGAATGAAAACCTATTTTTAAATTCAAACTTTTTAAAAGATAATAAAAGATCCTTTGTCCCTACAAAACTTTTTAGTAGAAATAAATATAATTACAATATTGAAAATGTGGACTTTAAATTTAAAAAAGATAATATAGTCTCCATTACAATCAAATTAGATAATGGTGATAAATATAATCATGTTTATATTATTAAAGATAAAACTATAGATCTAATGGATATAGAAAAAGTAACAAATGATATAGAAAAAATAGATTTGAATCAATAATATATAGATCTGTCCTTTGTATGACAATAAACTGCTGGAGGAAGGTTGGATTTATATAAAAAAATAAAAATAAATTCTGCAAAATCATTTTGGAGTATGAAAAATATCAATCTGTATACTATCTTGATAATGAGTTAAAGTAAGCTATAAGCAATATATATGATATGGTGCATACTGACTTAAATCGTCACTGTCGAAAATCGAGAATTTTTGAAATTCCGCTGGTAAATAGTATAGCCGATACTGTGCAAGAGCCATCATTAAGTGAGATGAATATTATATGTAGAATGAAGAATTATTAGGCGTCATGGCTCATTTATTTAGTATGATATACAATTTAATCATTTTTTCTAAGTGTTCGGTGGGATTTAAATCTTTTCGAGGTAAACTTTTCAACAAGCTTAAAAGCATCGTTTCCAGCTTTCAAATCATTGTATGCGCGAATATAATGCCAGCAGCGATTGTAATAACGGCGGATTTCTAGAGGCTTAGCATCAGGTGGAGAGACTTGATCTAGAAAGCTATCAAGGTTTTCTCTTAGTGACGAGAATGTATAATCGCATTCACTTCTTGCAATGCGCTTGGCAGCACTCCAGTATCTCTCGATCCAATTAGTTTCGCAATGGTACTTGGGATAAGAGGCGAACAAATGACCAGCCTTGAGAACAGTCTCGTGTAACGCGCTCTTCTGCGCAACAAAGTCGGGTTGACCCTCTAACATATGGTAAGGGCAACAAGTGCGATCAGCATTCGGTGGCTGATCGCAATTGGTTTTCCAATGCTTTTTTTTTGCCTCAAATTCCTTCCAACGTCCTAAGCCACGCTCTTCCAAGATGGTTCTAATGCCCTTCAAGGTCCAAATGCGTTCTTCTTTCACACCGCTTCTTGTCTTCTTTTTCTTGATCTCAAGAGTGTAAAAGTTCTGGATGACCAAGTTCCCATCTGGACCGACATACTTGCCAGGCAAAATCACGCGTTCTTCAATACCCTTGAGGACTTTATCTTTCAAGCCAAAACGGCTCACAAGTTTCGCACTTGCTGCATAAGCATTATGATTGCTTGATTGATCAAACAAAAATAGCGCTTGACAGCCTGGATGAAGTGCTTCAAACAATGGTATGGCGTCTTCTTTCAGTTGCTCCATCATATCCTTTGACGTCCAATAACCGTCACGGTTGGCACCAGCGTAGAATAGTCTGCGAGATTTCCAGTTTTTAATCCTCATGGTTCCATGGCAAGGGCATTGGAACTCGCTGACCATAATGGATCCTCCTGGACTCTTTTTACGGATGGGATTTTCACCCTCATACAGCCAGAGGTTGGTCTTGCAGTCATTCGAATAAAAAGTTGATTCATCCTGCGTCACCATGATGATCTTCTTTTGGTCGTCTGGTAGAAGAGGTTGTTGCTCAATTGAAACGTCGTCGTCGTCGTACGTTTCCATAAAGCGGCTGTATTCAACCATTTTAGCAGCCCACTCTTGTTGGTACTTAACAACATCATCGCGCTCATGGCCATCGTAATAAACATCTTTTTTGTTGACTCGGTAGGTGTAGCCCCATTCAATCAAGTAATTTCGAAGTACTGAAGGCGAGATGTGTCCTGGAAGAGCAAGAAGGTCTGGAATAGCGACTTCGTTCAGATATTTGAGCATTTCGGGAAGTCCTCTTTTCTCTGGCTTAGTCCTTTTTAACCATTGTAATGCTGCTGCTTTAACATCTTCGTCGCTCAAAAACGAAAGGCGTTTGGTGTGTTTTCCTTGCTGATGAGATGAGATTTTACCGAAGCGAAGATATTCTTTGGCATATGATACAATAGCACGGGGACGATAATACTCTGATGGCTCAATCCATGCAATTACAGCTGCCGTTTTGGATGCTTGCATTATCGACCGGCCGTTCAACAGCTCTCGAAAATAGATGTGAACACCAATATGCTTTCGCATTTCATAATCGTTAAGGTCTCGTTTATCGTTCTTTCTTGCATTTGCGATTGGAGTGACGATTGACGTAAGGCGTTCGAACCCTTCCTGGATGGTCATCAAAGGGATGATATCATCCACTATGGCTACTTCGTCATTGTGGTCGTCGTCATTTCCGCGTCGCTGATCCACTGATACTGAGGAAAAGAAGTTGGTGATTTCATAGCTGCCCTTTTTCTTCTCTGTAGCCTTATCATTTCGGTAATACTTGGTAGTTCTACCAGTACCCCAGTATCTTCCACTTCTGCGCTTCGATCCCTCTGCTACATTATTCCATTCAATAGGAAAGCTGGGAGGAGGGGTGGCCAATGCTACTGTTTCGGCTTGCAAAGAGGCAAGAATCTCAAAGTCGTTGGGTTCGGTTTCAACCATGACTTCTGCGATCGGAAGCTCGACAAGTGGTTGCTGAATTGTTGGGACTAATTGTTGAAAACGGCCATGTGTTGCTTGCTCTTTTGCGCGTTTTTGTTTTTTATTTGGAGGAGGCATGCTTGAAGTGGTAATTCAATTAAACAATGTTTGAGATTCGATGATTATACTCAGTACAATCTGAGCTATATAAACTATCTTCTTTTATACCAAACTTTCAAACATTGTTTAAGAACTCAGTCTTAACGGAGAAACAGATCTGAAGGTGAAAAGCTTATCAACTTCTTTGTCAGCAAGGACCCTATTGGTGCTCTGCTGTAAGAATGTTTAAAAAAACTTTTTATGATGGTGTGAGATGTGTTCTTGGACGGCTGTTTCATACTTGGTTTCTTTACTGGGTTATATGAAGGATTAAAATTTCAGTCCAACTAGGTGCATGTGTGCAATTAGATCCTGGTGCTGTAAAGAGAAACTTTCTATCAAGACATTTTCTGTACCAGATTTGAGTTTACCACATTTGAATTAGTGAAAAACCGTAATAACGCGACATGCGCCCTAAAAGTGTGAGCTTTGTGCAACCATGAGTCGTTCAGGTTACACACTGCTAAAAGTACACTTCCACCTTTCGAATCTCACCTCATGACCATCAATACCCCTTGTCGAAATCTGGGACCTCTCTGCTAAAAGTTCATTTTCCGACAAAACTTCAAGTTGTATCAGAGGCTCGAGAAATGCTTTTTTTCAAAAAGTAAAACGCAAGATCTGTTCAGAATCCATCAATAAACATATCTTGCGTTTTAGTTTCTGTAAAAAGGCAAATCTGCCAGCTCTGATATGATTTGTTTTTTTGGGTCGGTAATTAAATTATTTTGATGGTTAAAGTCAGTATGCACCATAGGAGTAAAGAAGTAGCAATAGTACAATAAGAATATACAACAAAAGACAGAAAAGGAATTGAGAAAAGAAAATCGAAGGAAGAAGAAAGAAGTGAAAAGAAAAGGGAAAAGGAAAAGGATAAGGGGCATATAGGGAAGTCGATTTTCAACCACACTTTAAATATTATGCTTTCTTTAAAGCATATGAGCCCAAGCAATTTCTTTTGTAATGGCACAGAACCCTTTACCTTTAAGAATAATCACTCAAAACGTAGATGTTGCTAGCACTGCTAGGAATTTGCGTGCCATCATCTTAGAGATCTATATATATATGGAGTTTTGCACTTCCAGCGCTCAAGTTCAGGCTGATCGACACTTCCTTCATCACTACATTGAAATCAGTCTTGACCCATCAACGCGAGTTTTGACCTGTTGGGTTGGACGGGTCGGGTCGGGTCAGTGTTTTCTTGACCCATGGGTCAATGGGTCAGACCCTTGACCCGACCCGACCCGTCCAATTGTGACCCCTACTACTTACAAATTAGCAATTCCTTCCACAATACCTGCTTTGTTTCCAGTCATGCGAGCAGAGAGTGACAGAAGATCCAGCTTGGCTTCCCTTACTGATTTCGTCTTGACATCAATCCCATATGATGAATAATTAATAACAACAAAATAAATAGTATATTATATGTAAAGGAAGTTCTTGCTATTTTAAATACGTCGTGAAAGGCTTGCCTCCCTCCGCAACCTTCCACCTCTAAATCTCATTGTCAAGTTACATTTCGTCACAAGTTCCTCATGTAAAGGAGGGATATGCTCATTACCATTCCGCTGGTTCAACTAATAAAGAAATTATGTTTTTATTTTATATATTTTTATTCATTATGAATAACATGTTTTTGGAAATTATTTTTTAAAATGATAAATATTATTATAACTTTTGAAAATAAACTAAACTAAATTACGTGTTATACCATAATTTATGTTTAAACTATTTTTTTATTATTTTCAAAATATAATTAATTTCTGCTTTATAACTTTTTTATCATATATAATTTAATAGAATAATTTATGGTTATTGTTTATTCATCTATATGGTTTGCGTAATGATCATGAATTCGTCATCTGTGAGTCGGTTGTTCTCTGTAGAGTCGGTTGTTTCCATCAAATCACTGAGAATGTGGTTACATAGGGAGTGTAATGTCGCTAGGCCAAAAACTTGGGACTTAAGTGTGCTGTGTTCATTTAGTGCCAGAAAAAGAATGTCGGAAAGAGCCAAAATTTCTTGCAAGTCAGTTTCGATCTTGAATGTCGAGTCGGTAGGGGATATTTGTTGCTGGTATGTCTGAAAGAGATCGGTGACGTGATGTTGTGAATTAACCATGGAGAGATAGATTCATTGGATGAGGAGTCGTTGTAGTTGTCATTGCCGAAAGAAGTTGTGGATAATGGCGGTAATGAATTGCTGATTGTATTGGTTGCATTGCTGTGGCTGCTGGTGTTGTTCTTGTTGGTATTCTCCCGGTTGGTTTCATTCTGAGAAGTGCTTGCATTGGAGGTGGAGGTGGTAGTGGAAGGAGAGTCGTTGCTGCTGTCAACGTGAGGTGTTTCTTCCACAATGATTTGGTCGACAAGAGCTGAGCAGGAAGCATGGGTATCTGACATCACCTTTGACCGGGCTTGTTCCTTCTAGAAATCAGTGCTGTCCATAGATAAATTCCATTGCTTGAGTTCGGCTAACAGGCTAGCTTTGGCATCATGTTTAAAATACTTTTCCTAGAATAGTTTGATAACGCACCTGGCTGTATTGACGATTGTATAATTCAAAGTGGCGAACAAAGGATTTCAAAGAAAGAAAACTGGCATTACGGGGTGTTCTTTTTTGCTTTTTTGATATGTGAGCTGCCATTTAGAGGAGTGAGAGAAGGGTAAAAAAAATGGTCGCGTCGGAATTTCACCTCATATAACGCGGAGTTTGGGGCTGGACCTGATTTCGCAGTCATCTGAAAAAAAAATTTCAAGGGTGAATAGGGGACTTTTTTGTTTTTTTCTCTTTTTTTCCAACCTACCTCAACAATCAAGATGCTTGCGGCTAGTAATCTCTGGATGAACGTCCTTGATACCAACCATTGCAGCTGATTGTTCTGTCAATCATGTTCTTTGACTTGGGTTCTCTTGCGAGGTGAGAGTCTGGACTACCTCAAAAAGAACAACAACAATATGTGCTTTTGGTGTTGGTAATATCTTGATCAAAAAATCAACAGCTAAACAATCCAAGAAAAAACAGAGCACTGGAACAGCTACAGCAAAAGGAAAAACAACAACATGGTAAGGCTATAGGAACAATAACTAACCATTATTTGAGGTTTTTATAGTATACGATGGACATTTGGAAAAGCACCCTAAATTCAAATACTACTATCTGGTTATGGACAACACGCACCAACACATCAATCAAAAACCATTGAAATGCCTCTTACTGAACGTGACTACAACTGTGTTTATCTCCCGCCGTACTCTCCAGAAATGAACCCCATTGAACAATTTTGGTCCAAGTTGAAGTATACGATCAAGAGGGAAGAACTGCTGGATATGGACACACTCTTTTCAAGAATATCGGAAGCTTGCAATATGGTTACTCACAAGGATCTCCATTGATAGATCCGTCACTCTATCTCCTGCTTCGATGATTGTCTCAATGATGCCCCTATTTAGTGTAGTTTATTTATGTCATTTTTTATTCCATTATTGTTTTTTGTTATTATCTTACCCAATAAAATATTGTTTTTACCTTATCTTTGTTTTGCTCTCTACATTTGAACTCTGCGATATACCTTTTTTTGTAGGCGACATCTACGCTACCGACAAATCCAAACCGAAAATGCGACATCCGTTTTTGGAAAATGCGACATCCCAGATTTGATAACTCGACAACTGATTTTCAAAAGTGCGACACAGGTTTCGAAAAATGCGACAAGTAATGTAGAAATACTGTATATGATTAAACATAAAAATGCACTCCAATTATGGATTTTTTATCTAAATACTTTTCAATTCATTTCGTCCAAAAAACACTGAGGACGGAAAATGGAAATAATCACGTGCGTGGTACAGTGTTTTCCTTCGACTTTTAGTTATCCATTATTGGATAACCGGCGAACTAGTACTCAGATGATTCAAGGAAAAAGTTCAGACGAATTAAATAAACTGCTCTTCCCTGAATATCTTATTTTATAACACTCAGAGCATATACCTTTCAATGATAGTAGACTTTATTAACTATATCCCTGATACAACCATTGAGGAGGTTGATGAAAGTTCCTCGGATGAAATGGATTTAGAGTACACTGCAAAAGAATATGGCGAAGTAATCATGTTGGCGGATGCATTTACTACTACTATTGATTATAATGATAATGTTAACAACAAAATAATTATGAAAGACTCATTAGCTACCGTTTCCGAGAAGAAAGCTCCAAGTGTGAAATATAAAAAGTATGGCGAAGACCAAGTAAAAAGGTTTTTTGAGTTGATAACAAAAGAAGGCTACACAGTACCAAAAGCAGCAGAAATTGCGGGTATCCCCAGAAGTACAGCTTATAAGTCAAAAAAAGTTTGGAATGACAGTGATGGATCCGTATACCCTAAAGGTTGTGTTAAAAAGGAATCGAAAAAGAACCCTGATAAATCAAAAGGCAACACGAAATTAGAAGACAAACATACCTTCTTTTTGATCGATTTAATCGATAAAAATCCATGTATTACTATTATAGAGGCGAAAGAGGATTTGTGTTCTAAATTTTCAGACCTATCAATAACAGCTTCAGGTGTAAACAAACATATGAAAGGAAAATGTGGATTATCATTAAAAGAATCGAAACTGTATACCCTCACAAGAGATGCACCTAGAACGCTGAAATTACGTTTTGATATTATAATGCAATGGAAGGCTACCGGTGTGGATTATATGGCAAACTGTGTTTTTATAGATGAATCAGGATTTAATGCACATCAGATATGAAAACGTGCTTGGTCTCGTATAGGTGAGCCTGCAATTGTTACAGTACCACCTCAAAAAGGAGTGAACGTGAGTATCATTGGATGTATAGCTCCATAGGGAATAATCAATTTTTGTAAAGTTGAGCCATTTAAATCAAGTGATGCTGCTTTGATTCAGAAAGAATTTCCTCAACCCGAAAAAAAAGAAAAAGAAAAGCGAACACAGAAGCAGATCACAAGCCAAAGGTGAAAAAAAGTACAACAGCCTATCATGTCGTGAAATTTATTGAAGCAACTATGGACATTTTAGATAAACAGAACAAAAAAGGAGTTTTCATTGTGATGGATAATTGCAGGATTCATCACTCTGATTTTTTATAAAAGCGATTAACGAACGTGGTTATAAGCCTCTTTTCCTACCACCTTACTCGCCATTTCTTAATCCTATTAAAGAGTGTTTGGCAAATGTCAAGAAAAATACTAGAAGACATCAATTGAGTAAGATAGATCAGCTAACACCTAGAATTGCTGCTGCATGTGCTACTGTTAGTGCTGAAGATTGCCAAAGTTGGATTAGACATTCAAAAACATTTTGGGATAGATGTTTATCAAAAGAACTTTTGCTATGTTAAGTCCAAATATATTTGTAAAGAATCTGAATATAAGCATAATAAAAGTCTGAACAGCAACTTCGGTTCGTCTAACAAATTAAAAATTTGTGTCTGAATTTAAAAATCTAAAAGTCCGAAGAAAACCATCCTTTGGTGTTGGAACGACTGTATATTAGAAAGGTGTCTTATTATAACAATTAACAATTTGGCGCTTAGAATGATTACAGAAACCATTAAGGTCACTGATGAATATATCATTACAAGCATCAGTAGTTCTACTGGACAGATTTTCTTCATTCATTAGTCTGTCACGCTTCATCTTCCCTTTAACTATTGCCCAAAACTGTTCAATAGGGTTCAATTCAGGCGAGTAGGGAGGCAGATACATTACTCTGTAACCCTTACTTTCAATCTTTCTTATCATCGGCTTAGACTTATGAATAGAAGCATTATCTAGAACTATATAACTTCCTTTGAAAGCTTCTTTGGCATCCAGTACAGCAAGAACTTCGTTCATAAACTTAACGAAGTGAGCAGTTGTTGTACCTTTTTTTACTGAATTATTATCAGCAGAATCGTCGTTAACCTCTGGATTCTCTCCACTAATCTCAGTTACTGCTCTTTTTTTCCCATTATTAGCCTTTCTTTTTTTTTAGCAGCCTCAATTTCTTTTTTTGGTGGTGGTTTTCTGATAGCAATGTGAATAATGCTAGAGGAGTGAATAGCACCAATGATTGTATGTGTTGGTGCTCTGGTTTGTGGTTGCTTTACAATTGCCTTTTTTCCACTTTTCGATCTGGCCCAATTGAGTCTCATGTTGATGTGGAAACCGGCTTCATCTATAAAAATACAATTTTTTGTAAAATCCAGATCAGAATCTTTCCATTTCATAAACCATTCGAATCGTGTCTGGAGATTCTCTACTGAGTTTCTAACCTCAGGTTCGAAATATGGCTTTTTTACAGTGATAAGCATAGTATTACATAGATGGTTGTTCATTTGCAATTTTGAAATGGTGAAGCCTTCGAATTGTTCAGTCAAGCTATTTATTATATCGTCCGCAAATATCTGAGGGTCGTTGTCAAGTAGCTTGGTAATGTACTCATTAAGCTCAGTTGTAAATGAGCTTTTTGGACCACTGTTTTTTCACTATTTTTATACGGCACCCCTTGTGATAAACGTGGGTTGTGGATAAGTAATAAGAGTGAAAGATTAAAATAAAAGACAATATGAAATACAGTGAGAGTCAAATATCAGATGATTTTTATTGAATAAATTCACAACCCTTTATATACTGTTGAAGATGTTGTCTAGACTTCCGTCTGGATGAACTGATGAATGGATCGCGGATATGCCGGATTTTGGATGTTTCAAAGATGAAGAAGGATGGGAAGGTTGAGTTTGTCGGCCATGATAATGGACATTGTCTTCTGATTGTAAAGAGTCATCTTTGGTAATCAGTGTGTTCCTTGTTTGGCGAAGTCTCACCTTTGTCAGTGCTGGAATTGGTATCCGCTCTTTGATAGGTACACTTTGCTCAACTCAGATAAGCTAGATTCAAAGGAAGTGCTGACTAAATCGAGAATAGGACAATGTGTATACAATGGTTGGTCCTGAGTTATTCTCGATTGGTAATCCATGTTTGAGAGATTATCGATATGGTGCTAATTATGTAATAATTGATTCATCCGTGTGTGTGGTGTTCTCTCTACTATGTTCTAATGGTTACGAAGACGGCAGAGTAGATTGAGTTGTCTGGATCAATCTCAAAGTAGTGTGGTTTACCACAAATATTAACTAATAAAAAAAATAGTGATGCTCAACACAGAAATCCTTGCATGTAAACAAACTATGATAAGCTCAATGAAAGATATTATGACTCAAGTTATGGATAAATATTTTGATGATGAAATTCTATGTGATTTGAAAGAAAAAAAACAAAAACTAATGAAAAATATCATAAAGGAAAAATTGGAAGAAACAAAAACGAACAATTTTTTGTATATCAATAGCAGTAATAATATATGCTCATATGTTCATAAAAGAGGAAAAAAAGAAGGATATATGTATCATCGGAAAATAAGAACAAATATTGGTGACAATAATCCTGATTTTCTATGTTCTCAACATAGTAAACTACATGTACCTAAAAAAAAAGAAAAAAAAGAGAGAAAACAATCTATAAATTTTGAAAAAAAGAGAAAAAATATCAAAAAAATTAAAAATATATATATATGTAATGGAGGGGTTCTCAGTTTTGCTGATGTTATCAATAAAATAATCCAATAGTTCATTATAAATATACAAAAAAGAAAAAAAAGAAATCATTCTCACTAAATATAGGGTAGAGTACACCATTTTTTTATCTGTGTATTTTTCTCTTTCATATAATCATCAATAATATCTTCTGTATTAAAATCACTTTATTTGACCCAGCTATTTTCATTATTACTATAACCAAGCCATTTTACATAAAATATTAGTTTATTATTAACATCAACCATATGATCTACTATTTTTTCTACTTGAAATACATTATCATTATTTTTTGGTTGATTACATTTTCTTTTTTTAGGTGTATCATTGGATATAAGTTCATTATTATCTATATTCTTTTCTGTATGTTTTTCAATATCTTCTATATTTAAGTTTAAGATTTTAAATTGTAGTTCCTGCATCTCTTTATATTGTTTATTTACTTTTTGTTCATTACTAAAAACTAAATTAATTTTATTCATTTTTGTAGGGAATTCAAATCTATTACTATCCCATGCCATATGATGTAGTTGAACATCTATATTATAATTTCTACAAAAATTATGAATATTTTTTAAATAACAGGCAATGCGGAACTGAAGATTATAATATTTTTTATCTGACATTTGCAATGCTGCTTTATTATTTTAACTCTATTAAATTTTGATGCTAATATAGAAAATTGACTTTCAATTTCAGACCTAAATGAACCAAATTTACTATTATAATTTAATTCATTAACAGTTAGATTTTTATTAACCTCTTTTCTTATTGGATAAACAAAGTTATTATGACTAAAATCATAACCATATTCATTTACATTTTCTATGAATTTGTCAACAAAGAGATTATATCCACCATCCATTCCTATACAATCTAAATTATTTATATTTTTATATAGTTTCATAATAAGGAACATAGTTCCATCATTACCTTTTGTACATTTTTCACTATTTGAAATATATAATATACTTTTATTAATATCTACTACAATTTGCGTTCTTAAACCAGGACCTTTTAATTTATATGAATATAAACCTCTTGAGCTTTTATTTAAACTATAATATTTTATTTTACTATGAAGGCTGTTTAATACTTTATTGATTTTTTAATTTTTAATTTTTTTATATATCCAATTTTTAAGCTTTATTTTTAAATAATAAAGAATGATCAATATGATTAGGGGTGGTCAGAGAAAATCTTTGATTTTTGATGACGTGGGTAGCTGGTCATTGAGATGGTAGTCGAAACCCTAGAATAACGATAGTTATTCTAAACACTTGCCTACAAGTGCCTCATGAACAGTGTTCTATCATGGCCATCAATATATAAAGTTACATTTTTAGAACCATTTGGATTATATGCATTTGTGGCTAGAACTCTAATTTTTATATTTGTAAATAAATTTTCTAAATTAATTTTTACTTGCTTATTAATATTATTATTAATTATTTATCCAAAAATCTTTATATAAAGCATAAACAGTTGTATATGGTATTATATTTACCATTTCAGGACCTGATCTAGGAGGTAAAACAATAACAATAAATATTTTTGAGAACTATAAAATTTTTGAAATCACTAGATTATCAAAAATTAATATGTTCTCTTTCATTTATTATAAAAATAATTTAATTATTCATAATGATCATTATCTAAATGAACAACAACAACAATAAATTGTTCTTGTTTTTTCTTTTTATATGTATTAAAAAACAAACATTTGTTATACAAATATTGTTTTTTTTTTGTTTAGAACTTTAAAAAAACAATAAAATCAAATCCTTGATTTTGTTTGTTTTTTAATACATATAAAAAGAAAAAACAAGAACAATTTATTGTTGTTGTTGTTCATTTAGATAATGATCATTATGACATAATTAAATTATTTTTATAATAAATGAAAGAGAACATATTAATTTTTGATAATCTAGTGATTTCAAAAATTTTATAGTTCTCAAAAATATTTATTGTTATTGTTTTACCTCCTTATAGAATTAATAGGTAAATTATGTATAATTTCTCCTATATTCTTATAAGAGGATTAAACAATAATCTAATGATTACAAAAAATTTCTAATTTTTTTATAATCTATAATTTTTTAAGATGCCAAGAGATTAAAATCAAAAAATAAAATATTTTTGATTTTCTTGGCATTAATATATTTTTTTATGTTTCATAATGATCATTATCTAAATAAACACCCCCCTCCCCCTCCTCCTCCAACAACAACAACAACAACAACAGCAACAATAAATTGTTCTTGTTCTTGTTTTTTCCTAATGGTGGAAAATACTCAAAATTATTATTTTGATGTATTTTCAGAATATCAAAAAATAAAAACTTTATTTTTTAGATATTCAAAGAAAAGGATAAATATAAATATTTATCTCTTTTCTTAAAAAATAGAAAAACAATTTGTTTTTTCTATTTTTAATTTTAAACTCAAAAAGAATAGAATATTCTTTTTAGAACATTACATGTTCTGAGTTTGAAATAAATTAAATTTAATTTTAAATTTAATTTGAAATATAAATAATAAGAGATAATTTTATTATCCTTATTATTTTTATTTCCAAAAATAGATTTATTAGATAGAAATTAGCTCCCTACCGGAAGCTTTTAACCCGGAGGGTAATTTCTATCAATAAACTATTTTTTAAGAAAAGAGATAAATATTTATATTTATCCTTTTCTTTGAATATCTAAAAAATAAAGTTTTTATTTTTTGATATTCTGAAAATACATCAAAATAATAATTTTGAGTATTTTCCACCATTAGGAAAAAACAAGAACAAGAACAATTTATTGCTGTTGTTGTTGTTGTTGTTGGAGGAGGAGGGGGAGGGGGGTGTTTATTTAGATAATGATCATTATGAAACATAAAAAAATATATTAATGCCAAGAAAATCAAAAATATTTTATTTTTTGATTTTAATCTCTTGGCATCTTCAAAATTATAGATTATAAAAAAATTAGAAATTTTTTGTAATCATTAGATTATTGTTTGATCCTCCTACCAGAAACAATATGATATAAAAGAATTAAACCTCTTTCTATTTCACGGTATGGTCCTAGGTAGGGATCTGCACGGCTCGGTTCGGTTCGATTCTTAAAGGGAACCGAACCGAACCGTCCAAAGCAAGAACCGAACTGACTAGAACTGATGAGAACCGTAGAACCGAAGACTCGAACCGAAGAACCGAACCCGTCATGTATATAAAAAAGGCACAATCCAGTATCTTTGAATGAAAGCTGATATATGTGTGTTCAAATATCGCGGTATACTTGAATACTGCAGTAAAAAAGAATAGTTTATTATTGTACATTGAACAGCGTTTTCAAAATGAATAAGAGAAACAGAATGTAAACATTTAATATACAATGTGGGTTATTGCATGGTTAAAAGATTAAAGCACAGTTTTCACAAAAAAAAGTGGAGCTTATAGTACTAGAGCGACGTAGTATTACTAGTACAATACGTTAATGTAACTTTGGAGGAACCAAACCACAACCGGCAGTACACACAGCTACTGTGTCTCTACGCGTGTATAGTGTCTCATAAAAGGCAAAGTGTCAATGGGTAAGATAATTCTGTTATGGGCCCCAGGATGCACAATCTCAGACAGAATGCACAAACTTGATAAAACTGATCGAGAAGCCAAGATAAATCTAGTAAAGTAGTACGTCATGGAGAAAATGCATTGTGGGTTGCAAAGTAGAGGAACAAGTAATAATGCGCGTTATGGGCAGAGAAAGCAAGCTGCCGTCAAAAGAAGTGTTTCTTTTTTGTTCTTCTCTTCTTTACTATTTCTCCCTCCCTTCTGCTTTTGCAGGTTTTATTAAGTTTTTGAATAAAGTATGGCTTGCAAATACACTACTTCTT